GAGAGAGAGAGAGAAGGAAGAAGGAAGGAGCCGATCCGCGACCGCGGAGTAGATAGATAGGTTAGGTTACTAACCTCTTGACAGATCGAGCTGCACGCAGTTGTCTTCGTCTTGACGACCTGCAATTAAAAAGAAAAAAAAAGAGATATGAGGAGAAGAGTCGCAAATTGCTGGGCGTTACGTTTTTTTTCGCGCAATCGCCTTTCAATCGCTACTCTCATGACACGCACTTCGGCGGGATCGACCGGTGCGTAGGCTTCTGCCCCACATCATCCAGCTCGAGATTGCCATTGTCCCGAAGGAAGCGCAGCCGAACGCGATTCACACGAGGAGTCTGTTTTCCAAATTTTCTTCCTCTTTCTCTATCACCCTCTCCTCCTGTCTCCTCAACCGTCGCAGCCGCGTTGCTCCTGCTCGACGACGCTCCTCCCGGTGCGTGCGTGGTCGTCGCGCGTCGCCCGCGCGTCGCGATATGTCATTCTCGGCCGCGAGCGGGAGTAGCGAACGAGCGAGCGAGTACACGTACGAACGGAGGAACGAGCACGAAGTACACCACGAGCACAGGTGTACGTTCGTCGTGCGTGTACCCGAGGATACTTCGCCTCGCCGGAGAGCAGCGCCTATCGACGAACGTCGGACGCGCCGGATTTCGGAGCGTCACGCGCGGCGTCGGTCGACAAGGAGCCCGACGGCCGACTCTACCTCACTACTGCCGCGCCGAATGACCGGGAACGATAGACTCGCCAGAATAGGAACGAGGATGCGACGTAGACGACGACGGGAACGAGGACGGCGGCGGAAACGGGAGCGAAATCTCGCCGCGCCGCGCCGCACGCTTTCGCCGCTCCGCTTTCGCGCTCCTTCGCATGCCCGGCTGGCGAGAGTAAAGGCGCCGCCGTTCGTCGCGCGCTTCTTGCTCGTCCGTCGCGCACCACCCACGAATATTGGAAACAATTGAACGCACCACGCTCTACATACAAATGTACGCTGTACGTATATCGTGTGGCGAACGGCACCCGGCACGATCTCTATTCGGGGGTGCCGGGATCGCGTGCGATTCTGATATTACTAGACACTCTGTTCGCTCTATGGGATAATTCTAGTAAATTACTAGCTCGCATGTAATCTAGCGAAAATTCGTATCATAGGTTATGTTCTAAGTTTTTACTGCAGCGTTGGAAATCTATAATTTACGTGACGTGCACTGTATATTTTTTAGTCCTCACAATTAATTTTGGAACATAGCCGTAGATTATAGTGTTATAAAAAATAGTTATGAAAAATGTTTTTATATAAAAACATATATAAATATATATATGAAAAATGTTTATATACCTTTATGTTAGTTTCTTTTCTTTGTAAAATTTCTTTGATATAGAGAAAATAATAATAATAATTGAAGAATAATTGAGAAGACATTAATTATATATATAAAATATATTTATATATATAAAATACTTTTAATGGAAAATTAAGAAATGATGAATTAATTTTTATATAAGTACTTTATTGAATATTCAAAATTATTTATGTCTATCTGTGTGACGATTTGTCCCGTCTCTATAATGCGTAAATGAGAGAAAAAAATCGTTTAAGTATTTCGGTTTAAATTGAGCGCGTCTGATCTTATCAAATTAATCAAAGCCAAGGTCATGGCTGCTCTCTTTCGACAGCATTAATGTACAATTTGTAAATAGTGTAACATATTTTTAAGTAACACACAATTTTAGTTTCTTCATTTTCTACAACGCACGATGATGAAGTTACTTCCGAGACGAATGACATTGCAATTGTCATCGCGTGTTTACGCCCGAAACTACGCGACGAAACAGCCCAGCGATTTTGTAAAAATAGTGGAAGTAGGACCACGAGATGGCTTGCAAAATGAGAAGAACATCGTGCCCACCGAGGTGAAAGTCAACTTTATCAACAGATTGTCAGCGACCGGGTTAAAAAGCGTTGAAGTTACGAGCTTTGTTTCTCCAAAATGGGTTCCTCAGATGGCAGACAATTTCAAAGTTTTTAAAAAAATCAACAAGAAAGATGGGGTGTCATATCCAGTGTTGGTGCCAAATCTGAAAGGCCTGGAAAGTGCTGTCACAGCAGGAGTGAGAGAGATTGCTATATTTGCTGCTGCATCAGAGGCTTTTTCCAAGACAAACACCAATTGCTCCATTGAGGAGAGTATTAGAAATTTCAGAATAGTCATAGAAGAAGCAAAGAAACATGATATTAAAATCCGAGGTTACATATCTTGTATCGTTGGTTGTCCTTATGAAGGTGAAACTAAACCGGCGATTACAGCACACATAGCTTCGTTAATGTTAGAACTTGGATGCTATGAAATATCTCTAGGTGATACCATAGGTGTAGGGTCACCAAGGAAAATCAAACGTGTCTTGAACGAACTTCTTCTTCTTGTCTCAAATGACGCGAGTCACTATGCATTGCACTGTCACGACACTTACGGTCAAGCCTTGGTAAATATTTATGAGGGTCTTGAAAAAGGAATAAGGATCTTTGATTCTTCAGTTGCAGGACTTGGTGGATGCCCATATGCTGCTGGAGCTTCAGGAAATGTTGCCACTGAGGATTTATTATATTTTCTGCAAGGACAAGGTTTGAACACTGGTGTAAACTTGGATGAAATAGTAGAGATTGGAGATTACATTAGTAAACAATTAGGTAGAACGAATCAATCGAAAACTGGAGTAGCTATGCTTGCCAAGAAAAATCGTCAAAAATGCTAATGATATTTGAAGATGCTTTTCAGCAGAAATTATTTGACAATCGAATGAAAGGATTTGGGATTTGAAAAATTCTGCATTTGCCAATTGATATAGTTATGATCATCTGTTATCATCTGTGTTCTCTTGCTGAAGTCCTAATAAGCTCACGATGAAACCAAAGCATTTTACATTTCAAATAACGATTATCGAACTTATGTATAAGTTTTTTAATATTTTTATATATTTATACGAATGATACTTTGTACAAAATGATTGTATATGCAAACTTTATACATATACACAAATATGCAACTGTAAAATATTTTCAATATATGCCATGTTCCGTGTTTATTATACCATACAATAAGTAAAAGCATGATAAGGCTGAGAAAAGTTTATATATAAATATAATTTTTAAAAATAAATAAATATAAATTGCTGATGTATTTTTATAAATTAAAAATACTATTTAATCTAGATATAAAACTCGAGGAAATTTAAGATAATCTTTTTCTTTTTGTAAAATAAAAATAGAGAATGTAAATTATTAGCATTGGCAACACTGCTTAGAGAAAGTTGCACGAAACCACGTGCGGAGAGAAAATCTAACCTCAAAAAAAGCAGGGAAGTTCTAACGAGAATATTGGTTTGCTATCAAGATTGTTTGCAATTTTATAAAAATAATAGACAAGATTTGTTTGATTGTTTGACTTTTGTAAAAAAGAGAATCAAGTGCAAAATACAACGAGATTAAAGTTTTTATGTTTTATATGCCTATAACATAATATGTTAAGTAAAAGATTAGGTTGATTAGGCATCTCTGATACGAAAAAAACGGTCGAAGTTTTACGTTATATTATCCAGCATTTATTAAATTTTCGAAATAAAAATGAAAGTGAATATCATTCCTTGTACTACATGGGTGAAAAGAGGCGTCGCCGCGGCTGTTCCGGAAAAGGTTAACATTCTATTAAGAGTTATGTCATGTGTCAGCATAAAAATCTTGCATTACATATTCTCTTACTTTTAGGTTGAACTAAAAGCCGACGAACTTGAGAAGATTATAAAGGAGACACAAGCCGATTTAGGGTATATAATTTTTGAAGAATATTGAAAAATTTGTTGACATGTTCTCTTATTATTTATTATTTTTATAAAAACAAAATAATAAATATTTAAGAATTGTTTAAATCTTTTTACTTATCTTTTAGAAATGACAATTCTGATGAAGAGGATTCTGACGTTATGTCAAAAGTTGCCTCACAGTTTAATGTAGAAAGTAATGGTGAATCTTCGACAGCTGACATTGATGAATATAATTTTAAAACTTATGACAATGAATGTAAGAGAAAAAATGTTATATATATATATATATATATATATATATATATATACATATATATATACATATTAATAATAATAATAATCTCTGACTTCATTTTTCTTTTAGCTGAAGATATGTATTGCCACATTACTAATTTAGCCAGTTTTGATGGTAAAGATCCTCTTGTAACAAATGATGAAGATGATGATTCAGACAAAGAAGATGATATTATCAAAGCTGATGATAATTTGGTATTGATCGGACATGTTGAGGGAGATGCTAGTATCTTAGAAGTATTTGGTTGGTATAACATTAATTAAAAATTTAAAATATCTTAGTATTAGATAACTTTAGTTAAATAATCTGGCATAGATTTTTTTCAAGGAATTTTTTTTATCTAATTGCAGTATATAATGAAAGTGAAGGTTCTTTTTATTGTCATCATGATATATTACTGCCTTCCTTTCCATTATGCATAGAGTGGCTTAATTATGATCCTGTCGATCCAAAACCAGGTAAATTATGTAACAATATGGTATTTTAAATTTATTAAAAATATTTTGGTAGGAATTATAATTATCAATAGAAAATGTAATTAAAGATTTATATTTATATTTTTAGGTAATTATTGTGCAATTGGTAATATGACTCCTATAATTGAAATATGGGACTTGGATGTAGTAGACTGCTTGGAACCAGCTTACAAATTAGGCTGTAAACCAAGTAAAAAGAAAAAGCAAAAACGCATTGGTCACAGAGATGCAGTCCTAGATGTATCGTGGAATCATAATTATATGTCAGTTAACATTTTCCAAAAAATATGAGCAACAAAATGTTTACTTTTATAATCACTGAAAATATTCTATTGCAGACACGTTCTTGCCAGCGCTTCGGTCGATCAGACAGTCTTGTTATGGGACTTGGAAAATTGTAAACCTGTCAATAAACTAGATCAATTTAATGAAAAAGTGCAAACGCTGAAATGGCATCCATGTGAAACTCATCAGTTATTGACAGGATGTGCAGATAAGTATGTTCGGTTTTTCTATTATGACAAGAACATGAATATTTGTGAATATCAACGTATATTTTTTCTAGATTAGTAAGATTGTTTGACTGCAAAAATGAAGTACTTGCTAAAAACTGGACTGTATCTGGAGAAGTGGAAAGGGTGTTGTGGAATCATTATGATCAAAATTACTGCTTTGTATGTTTTACGTACGTATTTACTATTAATTTTTTTGTTGTGTCTAACAATATTACATTCCTTTGCAGGCTAGCACAGATAATGGTTACATAGAGTATTTTGATATAAGAGAAGACAAACCATTATGGCAAATCAAGGCCCATGAAAAGGAAATCACAGGTAAGTAATTTTTTCTTGTTCACCCAAATAAATTTTTTTTAAAAAATACATATATAAATGCATATATAAATTCTATAATTCTTATTTTTAATTTCTTTTTTAGGCCTTTCTCTTAGTACGTCATGTCGAGGTCTTTTGATTTCTTGTTCAAATGATGGTATAATAAAAATATGGGATATTCTGGATCAAAAAAATCCTACTCTTATATGGGAACAAACGAGTAATCTGGGTGCTATACAATGCCTTGCAGCGAACCCAGATAATGGATTTGTATTTGCTGTTGGCGGGGACAATAAAGAGCACAATTTTAAAGTACTGGATCTTGTAGAGATACCCATAGGTACGTATCAATAATTTTTAATACAAGTTAAATGTCATTGCCAGTTTTTACTTTGATTAATAGTACGAGAAAGATTTATCAATGGGAAACGCGTCGCATCAAAAAGTTCTGCGATGGAATTCAAGCAAGAAGAAATGATGGACGTCACTGAAGATATGGAAAAAATGGAAGTGGAAAGTATGGAATCTTCAAATGTCAAACGGAATCGTCAAATGAAAGAAAAGAGTTGAGATTAAGTTATATATAACAATTAAAGTTTATTAAAACCTTAATTATATCAAATCGAAACACTAAAGTTTAGAAACTGTAAATAAATGATTTCTGCGATTTCTTTTATATAAATAGCTGATTTGGTAGTATAAAAATTGGTAGATATAAAGATGAATGTGTCTATTCGGTAGGCTGATTATTAAAACGCGCTCGTGTTTATTTCTTAAAACATGATTTATTGTTTTCCTGTTAACAGTGCAATGTTAATCCCATAACTATTTCTCAAGAATCTTACATCATGTAATTTTTGTTAAAAAAAACGCAATATTTTATTCAAATATTGACCGAATTTTCACATTGTTTGGCATGAATAATCGATGTAACATTTTAGAGAGATTGTTTTATTAAAAAATTAATTTTTTAATAAAATGAGCCCTTCTTTCCTTCCCTTCCTAGTTGCAGTGCCATACATGTTGTAAATTTATAATTTGGGCAACAGCGCTTACTTAATATCTCAAATATGAACAAAAAATTACACATTCAGAAACGTTAATTCAAAATTAAATTTAATACAAATTCGAAAATACGCTGTCCACTCGGAGAATTTTTATGTTTTATTAAAATACAGACTTGCGCCATGTAAAAACAAGCAGAATTAGATAGAATTTGTATAATTTATGCGGTTCTAAAATTATAAATGCGATTCTTGTAAAAGTGTTTAATCATCCGGTTATTTATCCATTAAAAATTTGTAAAAATTACATAATCTTATGCGAGGATTTGTTTGATTAGGAATTCAAGATATCAATGATACTGCAAAAGCAAGTTTGAGGGCAGTTGTAAAGATTTTTTTTACAATGTGTCTTTTGGTGATATTTGTTCCTCGAGTATATGATCCTTGATTAATTGCTTGATTATTCTGATAATGATAGATTCTTATATTTACTTTCATGTTTTAATGGAGAGTGTTATGATAATTTTGACAGTGTATATTATCGGGTGTAACATTAATAATTTCATCCTGATAAAAATTCTTTTCTATTGTATCCATTTACTTAAAGAATTGTTATGGTCCTTGCAGGTGCAATTTAATTTTGAATAAATACAATCTCACTGTTTCGAAATTTTTGTTGGGCAATCATAAATATGATAAAAATAATGAGCTTTCATGATTTTTTTATATATTGTATACATTTGTGTTTGTTAATCAAAGAGCATATTACGTTTTTATTCTATAATCTGAAAACGATATTTTATTTTCTTTTTACTTATCAGGGAGCATTGAACATTTGGTACATGAAGAGTACATGTATATTACATATTTAAAAATTCATATTTAATCTGTACATACAATCGTTATTAAATATTTTTTTTATTGAATAATGAATTAACGGATTCAACCGTACAAAATAAAAACATGAAATAAGATGTACGTATGTACCAATACTAATTATGCTGATAATTATTATAAAAAGAATGTAAATTAATATACAGGGTATCCGACATTGGTCATATCATCTCTCGTGTGCAGGTAGAGCTGGTAAAACTGAATAGAAAAGTCCTCTATTATTTTGCAATTTTCGTGATAATTATTGAGTTATTAATTATTAAAAATCACTATATTAGCTCGGCAAATGCAAACGCGCGTTAAGATACTCCAGCCCGGCGATCATCATTGATAAGCGCGTGAGAAATTGTTTACTTCAAGCGGCTTGTGCGTAGTCATTGCCGTTTGAAGTAAACAATTCCTCACGCGCCGAGCTAA